AGGTCTTTGTCACTTGTGTTTGGTTGCAAACACAACCGAAAATTTGTCAGAAAAAAAATTTACTAGCAAAAAACAATTTTTTGGTTTATGGAGAAAATACTTATCATACAATTTCCATTCATGGGAAAATGCTTATCATAGAGTTGTCATACAATTTTCTGTACGTATGGAATTGTATGAAATTGTATGAAAAGAAATCCCATTTATGAGAATTGTATGATAAGCATTTTTGGTCAACCCGGGTACTCAGACCCTAGAATATCAACTGGTGACCCAAGTCTCCAAGCGTCGCCTAAAAATGCCAACCTCTTTTAGTTTTTGAGATTACTACTTTTCACTTGAAAAGTCGCGCGGTTTTACTTGGCAAAATCTCAGGAAAAAGGACAACGAGAGCTACTTCAGTTTTCAATTAGAACACTTGAATTTCTAAATATAAAATTGTTCGACTAGCAAATAGTTGGAATGGAGGTCAACTTTAGATACAGTTTTAATTGTACACGCCGTGGATAAGTGATAACGTGATCGGAAAATCTTGCTCTCGTGTGTTTGTTTACTTCAGCTCAAATACTGTCGTAATTTTCATGTGTTTTTACTTGAATCTGAAAACGTAAACATTTTTAAGAGTGAAACCAGCGACCTGTCGAGAAGTATCATATACAAGGGAGGCACATTTTTTCAAAAAACATTGACTTGTTTTTATAGATAGAAAAAATGGGCTTTTACTGCTCTCTTGAAACGCTACAAAAAACCCTATTTTGACTAAAATTTCTCCGACGCATGCGTTTTTTGTTGCAAAAACCTGACCAAAAATGTTGTTTTTAAACACTTTTATGAACGTTAAAAAAGTACTTTCTGGTCAAAATTAGTTTATTCTAACTGTCAAGATACTTTTAGAACATTTTAAGGGTGGTTCGGCCGGTAAAAAAATTAACAAAAAGGGGAATCAAGGTAACAATGTTTTTGAAATCACTTTTTTCTATTTTTAGTGTCTACTTTCACTGTTAAATTTTAGGGTAAAGGATAAAGGATGACTTATTTAGGACAAAACATGCAAAAATCAGAGCCAGTAGTTGTTAGGTTGAGTGTTATAAATGGAAGAGAACCAATTTGATGCAAATAGAAGCAGAAGCATTTACTAATGGAAACGGAATTTGACTCTATGAACAACGTTTGCTAAAAGAAAATGATTATTTAAAATTTTCATTGATTAGATCCATTTATCTAAATAATGAAATGAAACTTGATTGTTGAGCAAAAATCATAGCGATGAAAATTGTCTCAAAAGCGGTTGTATTTGTAATCCCCCAATTCAAAAACGTTGTTTGTTGCCAACGTGGCTGCGGCGTGATATTGTTCGTTCCAATTTCCAACTATGATAAATACACCTGAAAATTATTTCATATCCCTCCCATCAAAGTTGATTTCATATAAAACTATCAATTTGTTTTTAATTTTCAAACGACTTGGTCCTTTCAAAGACAATTTTTTTCGCTAACCGGATCTTCCACTGACCAAGTTGGCACGGCTCTCCTCGTAGTTAGTTTACCTGGTTGCCGTTTCCACAAAATTAGTTAGAGGATCAAAGCTTCACTGGAGCACTACAGGTTTTTATAGAGGAGGTATTTCAGCAAGGTCATGTTAAATAAAGTCTCTGAAACCTTCCTCGCCGGCATTTCTGAGTCTTGTTTTCAGCTCCTGTGCCGTATGAACTTATGAAACCTCTCGGTTTTCTCTCTGAGCTAAAGGCGTTCCAGCTGAGGCATCACACTGACAAAAGTATGGCTTTCGAACCTTTACCCGATATTTTTTTCAAGTAGTTTTTTCTGATGACACACTTATGCAACTGATTGACATCAAGCTTGAAAAATCCAGTGCAGTTACCAAGTTGCACCAGGTTTCGCGTTTTCCTTCTCTGGACGCCAGGTACTTGCTGGATAATTTTGGTGTGCCAGCAAGTTACTAACGTATTTGGTCTCAATGTCGGCATTTGGTGTAGCATTCAAAACCATTGACTCTACCTGTTCCTCTTTAGTGTTTTTTCCAAATTTCAATTTACACAAACGCATATGACATTGAATTTAAATCTTTCTCTTCAAAAGTTAGTTCATATAAAATACGAATCCAATAAACTTTTTGAACAAGCTGGTCCTTCTAAAGACTTTGATATCTGCTCTACCGTTTCCTTTTTACGACCTGCACGGTTTTCCTAAATCCTGTTTCTCAATTCCATAAAAATAGTTGCAGGAGTTTTGCCTAACTGAACCTCAAAAATTTTCTCGCCGAGGATTTTGGTCGTTCAGCCAAATCTTAAGGAATGACGCGTCTTAGAACGACGTTCTGCCGGGCATAGCCTAGTATCGTGTTCAATTCCTGTGCTCGTATGAACATATGGATTTTCTCAAAACTTTCTATGAGTCAAATTTGTCCTCGTTGAGGCATCACACTGACGTTTGAGTTGCTTCATCGCTCTTGAACCGTCGCTTGTACAGTTTTCAAGCAAATTGACCGACGTATTTCCTACTAACAGATTCTTGTCTGATCAACATCAAGCTTGAAGAAACAAGTGCCATTTCTGGGTATCACCAGGACTTGCTTTTGCCTTTCTCAGCGTCAGCTAGTTTCTAATAATTTTATACATGCTAGTAACTCTTTGTCGTATTTGACTTGGTCATCAGCGTTTCGTGTACAAGTTAGATGCTTTAAGTTATCCAAATTGCATGAGAAAGGAAACAGATTAAAAGCTCCAGGTTAGAAGACTTTGTGAGTGGCAGTGGCTGATAACTATTTATTGTTGGTTTTCATTCGCAAGATCGCTAATTGATTTTCAATCTTCTCTCTGTTTGAGGTATTGAACGGAACAAAATATTTAATCACTGAGGGACTTAAGGTGGGCCCATGTCTCGTTGGAAAAAAAGATAAAAGACTAGAAGGAGGTTTTGCAGAAGTAGACCGCGTTTTGATATAGTAGACGTTTTGATATAGTAGAGTCAATTATCTAGATTGATGAGCAATTTTACAGCGACAAAAATTTGTATCAAAATCAGGGTTGTTTTTATTTCTCTAAACAAATAAAAAGTTGTTTTCTACCAACATGGCAGTTGCTTGATTATGGTCATTCTTAATTTTTAACTTCCCGGGTTGACCTCCATACACCGAAAATGCTTATCATACAATTCCATACATCAAGTGTGTGGGAAAATGCTTATCATACAATTTTCATACAATTTCTAAAAATGGTTGAAAACTGGTATAAACTCATTTCTGTGGCTGTTTGATTCTAATAAAACAATCTGGTGATAAAAAACTGAGGTTTTCGTTTTTTGAAAAAAATACTTATCATACAATTCCCATATATGGAAATTGTATGACTGGCGTTTTTTTGGTGGCGACACAAGTAAAATGTTGAGTGGCGACACAAGTAATTTTGAAAATTTAGCCCAAAAATTTTTTTGTTTTTTTTTTCAACCGCAAATCGATTTTCGTACGCAAACAAACATTTTTCGAAAAAAAATTTTTGCATGCAAAATTTAATATTTTGTGTGCATAACGTAGTCCTGGATACGATAAAATTGGCTTTTATTTTCTTTTCACTTAATTTTTTTTTCAAAAACGCTGAAAATTCCTCTTTCTTTTGTATGGGGTGTTAATGTACGCCTTGATCAATGTTTGATAATTTGAAAATTCAAAAATTTAATATAATCATCATTAAAAAATTTTGCCAAAAAATAAAAGTTTGTTACTTTTGTTATATCAATTGTGAAAGACAGCCAAATGCAGGTCGTTTTCTATGCATTGTAAATGCAAGACCGTCCAACCTTTGGTGTTTTGAGTAACCAAGGTCTTTGTCACTTGTGTTCGGTTGCAACTACAACCGAAAATTTTTCAGAAACTAAATTTATAAAAAAATCAAAATTTTAGTTTATGGGAAAACACCTATCATACAATTTTCATATATGGAAAAATGCTTATCATAGAGTTTTCATACAATTTTCTGTACGTATGGAATTGTATGAAATTGTATGACAAGAAGTTTCTCATATAAGGAAATTGTATGATAAGAAGTTTTGTGCAACCCGGGTTCCCTGCTTGCACCTGACGTTTAATTTACACCAAACTCTTGAAACAGTAGTTCACTAGAATTTAATATGTTCTATTGGTCAGCATAAGCTCATGAAAGGTGTTAGAGTGATAGTTATATCAATTTTAAAAATCAAATTTATCAATCTGAGAATCTGTTTTTGTAATTTGAGTTTAAGATTGACTCATCGGCATACAGTTTTACGTGTTTTAGAAGTGCTGTCCTAATCATCGTCGATACTCTATCAAGATTTTTCTTCAATTTTCGAACCATCACTCTCAGGTTTTTTCTTAATGGATGTTAATCGACATCTGTATAGCACAATTTTTTTTTTATTATGACTGCCATTGCGTTTGTTCAAGTGTGGATCAAGCAAATAATATTGTTCTCGTTTTTGTCGCGAATGAAATATTTCGATTCATCAAGGGGCTTTCAACGTTTCTGCATGATAAGGTTGGTGGCAATTTTGATGCAGCTTCGACTGTTTCCTCCAAAATAAGTTATTGTATGCTTTTCGTATCCAGTTTTGACGATAAAACTTTGTAAGAGCACGATTTCTTCAAAAGCGTTAGTCCAAGGATTGCTTTTCCGCTATGCTTGAAGATAGTGAAACAGCCAGTTGGTTTTCCACTCATCAACTTATACGCTTCATTTTTTCCATATTGTTTATATGATACTGTTGATCGTCTGGTGTCATTATCTTCACTCTGCTCAGTGTATAGTTTTTCAAATAGTCCAAGATTGTGATCCTTGAGTTTGGCAAGTTTGAAGGATTTTGTGTGGTGGAGGACACCCAAGATTGGTTTACCGGAAGATCTGTGTTCAAATGTAATTGAAATGTTTTAGCGTTATATACATTTACAGTCCACTTCTTATCAGTACCAGTTTGCGTAGCTGAGAAATAATTAACCTACTAATTTTCTATACCGTGTTCCAACCGCTATCTGATAGCATACTTACTTCTCCAATAAGTTTTATATTTACTGCTGCGGTAATTTTGATGATGTAGAGCTTTGCTTGTCATGTTATGTAAGGTTAGTTCCTGTCAAGTTTTTTTTTAAGTAGAGTGATTGCTTTTAAGACCTTCTCAAATTGCATTACTTGAAACTACTCAAAATCTCCATGAAAAACTTTCGAATTTTGTTCCTACATGCAGTCTCAGATTTGCTTTTCTTTCCAACATTGGATAAAGATATGCTAAATTGGCATCTAATTGATTGATATTGTTCTGTATGGCTACTAAAACTAGATGTTCTGAAGTTTTCATTTTACTAGTGAGTGTATATGTTTTCATGTTTTGAATACTTTCTACTTGCTTGAATTACTTGGCTACTTGTCTTGCTTTGAATTTTTGATCACTTTTTGATACCCTGTTTGACTGGAAAGTGTTTACTGTTTTTTGGTTTCATTAATTGAATGTCATTTGTGGTATTTAACAAACTTGGCGTTGTCTCGTGCCATTTACTTTGATAGCTAGAAGCCACTTGCCTGCATATGTGTTTCAAGTTCTCTGCGAAGTGATGCTTGCTCACTGTTGCGCTGTAGCGCTTTAGAGATTTTCTTAGAAAATCTGACCCCCAAATTTTTTTTTGTGATTCAGTGCGTTTTTCCTTTGAGTTCACCATTCATATTCTTTGCAGTGGAATGCCGCTTCTAGATGGCGTGAGGGATATCTAACTTTTTATCTTTGACTGCTAGTCGTGAATGTCTCTTTTGTTGGACTTGATTTGGTTCCAGCTTTTTGAACGCTTACTTTTAATTTGTTTAACTGCATGAGTCGTTTTGAAACAATTTTCTTCTTTTTACCGGTTCTTGAGCCCACATAACCTAATTCAACTTATTCATCACCTCCACTGAACTTATCATTGGATGACATTATGTCTGTTTTTTTGATATTTTTCTAAACCAATGAGTTTTACTGATTCTAAAGGCTATTCGCCAATTTTAGTTAACTCATTTCTTGAACCTTAAAAAAACACTAATTTGCCATTAATTTTGTTTGCTAAAATCAATTAACTGCTAAGATATTTTGGGTTCCATAGTACCTCACAATTTCTAACCTCTGTGGGTATATGATGATCCGTAGCGTTCTGGTGGAGTTCTGGTGGGCTTCCGAGACTGGTGGGATTCCGAGGTTTGCTTAAAGTATGTTGATGAAATATATGGTTTCAAAGGCTTTGATCGACCTCGTGCGTTGGCAGACAATACTATGAGCTGTTCTGGTCACCATCACAAAGTGCACGGTTGTTCTCTAAGTCTATTGGCCTGTTTTAATTCGCGATAAAGTAGCTGCTGCCTTGAAGCTTCACTGCACCACAAAGTGTTCTGATCGAGGAAGAATTTATTCAATGTCGTGTTAAATAACGTCTCTGAAATCTTTCTCCATGGCATGACTGAAGCTTGTGACCAGCTGCTGTGCCAGTATAAACCTATGAAATTTATCAATATTGTCTTTGAATGGAAGGTGCGCCAGCTGATTCATCACACTGACATCTGTGTTGCCTCATTATTTGTTAAACTCTGTTTGACAAATTTCAAAGTAGACTGACGGTCCGTTTTGACTCTTCTGTTGACACAAACAAACGAGCCTCTGATTGACATCAAGATTGAGAAATCCAGTGCCATAGCCTGCTAGCACCAGGTTTAATTTTTGCGTCCTTGATGTCATTTAATTGTTTTTGCTATACGAGTCATTATTTATCGTCTTTTCAATCATCGGAATTTGGTGTTGCTCGGATCTTTGGATGTTTTTCTTCATCTATTAATTTGTAATACCAAGTTTCGGTCTGAGAGATTGCAACAAACAGCTTCTTCTAATGCGGATAACCACCAGGATGGCAGTGAAGGATTACCAATTAATATTGGTATCCACTGAAAAAAGTCCTAATTTAATTACAGATTTTTTCATTAATTGTTCACTGAGGTACCAGGTTTGGGCTATATTCTGTTGAAAACATGATGAAAAAGATGAGCAATGTACGCAAAAACAGAGGTTGTGATAAATTTTGATTTTATTTTTAAAGTTGTTTATCTAGAATATTGAAAGACTAGGATGTTGAGAAGTTTTTTTTAGCAAAAAAATACTGCATCGAAATTTGTTTTTCGAAACCAGAAAAAATTGGTTTTTCATTCAATAAAAAAAATGCCGATATGGCATTAAGGTGACATTGGCCGTTTCCAATTTTCTTTTCATGAACCCGAAACACAATTTTTATGATTCTCTTCAAAAGTTAAATCTATGGAGTTTATTAGGCTAGTTTTTTATGCCCCAAATTTTGACGAGGTTATCGTGATCTTTACATCATTACTAAAATCAAATTGTTCATTTTGATTTCAGAACTTTTGAAAAAGAAAAAATTAGAATCAAGTTTCATTAGAGTTTTTTTCCAAGTTCATAGTTTTTGAGCTAAACAATTGCTGTTTTAATTCCCTTCGATAATCTAACACTACTTTTTTTTCAATTTCCGTCTATTGAAGTCTTGAAACGAAACTTCGTTAAGTTTTTTCTGGCACCAAAATAGTTTTTATAAAATTTGAAGATGCTACAAGTGTGTTTTTTCATTGTCAATGTTGAGAGAAAAACAATCAGTCTGATCAAATACCTTCTGTTAAATGCTGAAGCTACAAAAAGTATAAATAATAATACAAAAAACTCAAACGCCGCGTCATTCAAAGGTTCCATCGCCAATGTTATTTAAAGACTTTTGTTTTTGTCAGAGCTAACCCAAAAGTTTTAAATATAAAATATTCTTGTTTTGAATTGGAAGCGCATGATGAAAAGAGTATTTCAGTCTTATTCGAGCGACACTAAAAATATTTTAAAAATTTCAGTGTCAAGAAATAAGGGTTCGATGTTTTTGATTTTTCTTCTTTTTGACTTATTTTGAAATACACACGACTAAAAGTTTGTCCAACACTGAACTAACTTACAAGAGTAGCCTAACCGGCTCTCACTAATGTTCCGACCACATTTGAACATTAAAAAAGACAGACACTAGTAAATTGGGCATTATCGATTAAAGTTTTCTCCAAAAATGGATTACAAAAAAATTACAAATTTTTGACTTATTTTTTCTCTAATTTTTCGCAGATCAGTTTTTTTAAAACTTTTTGTTAAAAGGAAGCGCTAAATTAAGCAACAAAAACTAGTTTTCTTTGACTGAAGTTATATCATTTTAAAAACCATGATATATTAAAAACCTTTCAGTTAAAGAGCTCATAATAAAAACGTTTCAGTCTAACTGGAACGACATTTTGAAAAGTCCAAAAAGTTTTCCCAGTGTCGAGAAAAACCGGTTCGAAGTTTTTGACTTTTTGTCTAATTTCGAGAGAGTGAGCAAAATTTTAAGGAATGACGCATCTGAGATTGTTTTGCCAGGCATAGTCGAGTATCGTGTTCATTTCCTGTGCTCGTATGAACATATGGATTTTCTCGAAACTTTCTATGAGTCAAATTTGTCCTCGTTGAGGCATCACACTGACGTTTGAGTTGCTTCATTGCTCTTGAACCGTCGCTTGTACAGTTTTCAAGCAAATCGGCCGACGTATTTCCTACTAACAGATTCTTGTCTGATCGACATCAGGCTTGAAGAAACAAGTGCCATTTCTAGGTATCACCAGGACTTGCTTTTCCCTTTCTCAGCGTCAGCTAGTTTCTAATAATTTTATACATGCTAGTAACTCTTTGTCGTATTTGGCTTAGTCATCTGCTCCAAGTTACACAAATAATTGCACGAGAAATGAGACAGGTTAAAAGCTCCAGGTATATTTATTGTACCATTTATTGGCTAGTATAAAGTCATGAACGATGTTAGAGTGATAGTTATATCAGTTTGAAAAATCAAATTAATCATCTTGAGAATCTGCTTTTGGAATTTGATATATCCAACTTCAATTGTAAGTTGAGATTGACGCATCGGAATACAGTTTTATGGGTTTCAGAAGTGCTGTTCTAATCATCTTCGATACTCTATTAAGATTTTTCTTTGATATTCGAAGCCCTTTACTCAGGTTTTTTTCATGTCCGTCAGGAATAATCTGAAAAATGAAAAAAAACATGAAGTTTAATGAATTTAATCGACATCTGTATAGCACAAATTTTTCGCATAATGACTGGGTTTGTTCAATTGTCATCCATTTTGTGCAAATTTTATCCATTATGGATCAAGCAAATAGTTTTTTTCTCTGGATTTTGTCGCAAATGAAAAATTTTATTTCATCAATTGGTTTTCAACATTATATGCATAATAAGATTGGTGGCAATTTTGATGCATCTCTGACTGTTTTCTCCAATATGAGTTATTGCATGCTCTTCCTGTCCTGTTTTTTGCGATAAAACTTTGTGAGAAAACGGCTTCTTCAAGAGCGTTAACCCAAGGAATTCTATTCCACCATGCTTGAAGATAATCAAACAACCAGTTTATTTTCCACTTATCAACCTATACGCCTCATTTTTTCCATATTGTTTATATGATACTGTTGATCGTCTGGTGTCGTTATCTTCACTACGCTCATTGTCTGCTTTTTCAATAGTTCAAGATCGTGATCCTTGATTTTGGCAAAATTGAAGGATTTCGTGTGGTGGAGAACACGCAAGAATGGTTTACCGGAAGATCTGTATTCAGATGTAATTGAAATGTTTTAGCGTGATATACATTTACAGTCCACATGTTATCAGTACCAGTTTGCGTACCTCAGAAATAATTAACCTACTAATTTTCTATACTGTGTTCCAGCCGCTATCTGATAGTATGCTTACTTCTCCAATAAGTTTTATTTTTACTGCTGCGGTATTTTTGAAGATGAAGAGCTTTGCTTGTCAAATTTTGCAAGGATACTTTCTGTCAAGTTTTTTTTGAATAGAGCGATTGCTTTTAAAGTTTTTTCTAATTGCATTATTTGAAACTAATCAAAATCTTCATAAAAAGCTTTCGATTTTTTTTCCACGTGCAGTCTCAGATGTGCTTCTTCTTCCAACATTGGATAAATATATGCTAAATTGGCATCTAATTGATTTATCTTAAAGTTCTGTAAGGCTGCTAAAACTAGGATTGTTCTGAAGATTTCAATTTACAAGTGAGCGTGCATGTTTTCAAGTTTTCAATACCTTTTACTTGCTTGAATTACTTAGCTACTTGTGTAGCTTTGAGTTTCTTATCACGTTTTCATACCCTGTTCGACTGGAAAAACTTAATTGTTTTTTGGTTTGTTTATTACCACAAATGAGAGTCAATTAGTGAATCTTGGCGTTGTTCTCTCTGCTTTGAACTTTTGAACGGAAAAAAATAATTAATCACTGAGGGACTCAAGCTTGGCCCATGTCCTGTTCGAAATAAGATAAAAGACAAAAAGCAGGTTTTGCAGTAGTAGACCATTAAGTTAATTTGTGTTTTGTTTAACTGAAATAGTCATATTAAAACAATTCTGTGTTTTACCTGTTCCTGAACATACATAATCTAATTCAAATTATTCTTCATCTCCACTGAATTTATCAATGGATGACCTTATGTCTGTTTTGTTGATATTTCTTTTAAACCAATGAGTTTTTTTCTTCTAAAGACTGTTCGTCAATTACAGTTACCTCATTTCTTGAATCTTAACCGAAAAAGTTAATTTGCCATTAATTTTGGTTGCTAAAATTAATGCCTGTTAAGATATTTTGGGTTCCATAATCCGTCAAAGTTGCTCATATCTGTAGCGTTCTGGTGAAGTTCTGGTGGGAATCCGACACTGGTTTTGTTTAGAGTCTGTTGTTGAAATAAATGATTTCAAAGGTTTTGATTGACCTGGATCGTTGGCAGACAATGTTATGAGCTGTTTTTGTCACCGTCACAAAATGCACGGTGTTACTTTTAGCTGGTTGGCATAGTTTTCTTTTTCTGATAAAATAACTGCTGTGTTGAAGCTTCACTGCGCCACAACGTGTTCTTATTGAGGAGGAATTTGATCAATGTCGTGTTAAAAAACGTGTCTGAAATCTTTCTCCACGGCATGGCTGAAGCTTGTGATCAGCTTCTGTGCCAGTATAAGCCTATGGATTGTATAGGTATAGTTTCTGATTGAAAAGTGCGCCAGCTGATGCATCACACTGACAACTGTGTTGCCTCATAACTCGTAAAACTTTGTTTGATAAACTTCGAAGTAGCCTGAAGTAGTCCGTTTTGACTCTTCTGTTTTCTGTTGACCCAAACGAGCCTCTGATTGACGTCAAGCTTGAAACATCCAGTGCCGTAGTTTGCTAGCACCGAGTTTTTTTGTCATTGAAGTCATCTAATTGTTTTTGCTATACCAGTAATTTTTTATCGTCTTTTCACTCATCGGAATTTAGTGTTGCTCAAATCTCTGGATGTTGTTCTTGTCTATCAGTTTGTCATACCAAGCTTTTGCCTGAGATGTTGCAACAAGTATATTGGTATCCACTGAAAAAAGTGCTAATTTAATAACAGCTATTTTCAATAATTATGCACTTTAGTACCAATTTCGGGCTATAACCTGTTGGAAACAGGATAAAAACGTTGAGCAATGTAAGCAAAACAGAGGTTGTGATAACTTTTTGAATTTTTAAAGCTGTTTATCTAAAATATTGAAAAAGAATACTGAAAGATTGTTGAGAGGTTTTTATCGCGGAGAAAATTGCATCGAAACCTGTGTTTTTCAATCACTCAAAAAAAATTTTTTTTTGCCAATATGGTAGTGGCGCGACCTTGGTTGTTTCCAATTTTCTGTGCATGCTTCCGAAACACAATTTGTATGTATCATGTATTGCATCAAATACTCTCAAAAAACTTTTGACTTGCTGGTTTTTACTCTTGCAATAAGCACAAGTGTTGCAACCCGTTACTAGATTTTTTTGCGTAAAAGTCTTGTTACAGGTTTACTGAAATCGGTGCTCACCTCTATCGGTATATTTTCAACTAAGACACATATTATGAGCATGTCTGCATTTTTATCCCTTTCTATTCGAAATTTGTTATATTTGTTGAGTGTTAATTTACCAACCAATTTTTAACCTTTTTTTTGTTCCGACCACTGAAAGTAGGGAGGAATTTTGTATTCGGGTGTGTTTTAGTGTTGTTCTTTTTGTTTTCTACGAAAAATCAACACCACAAATAATATTCGGACTGGGTTGAGTCCTATTAAAAACCTCACATTATCATATATCATATTAAAATGTGATATATGATAATTAAAAACCTCAGTATAATTATGAAAAATCTTTCAGTCTTTTTAATAATTAGACTGAGGTTATATCATATTAAAAACCATATTATATTAAAAACCTTCCAGTTAAAAACCACATATTAAAAACGTTTCATCAAATTCGAACGACATTACAAAAAGTCTAAAAAGTTTTCCAGTGTCGAGAAAAACCGGTTCAAATTTTTTGATTTTTTGTCTAATTTCTAGCGAGGTAGCAGGCGTACATTAGCTTATGCTTAATTTGAGCCTTGAAAATTAAATTTTACTCAAATGAAGTTTATTTTTGGAGCTTTTAGCTTCATCTTAGGAAACAAAAACTGCAAAAATTTGGAAAAAAAATTGAAAAATTACAAAAGAAAAATAATTTTTTTTGATTGTTTTTTTTATTTCTTGTTATTTGTCTTGAAAAAATTGTTTCCAATTTGCGCATTTTACAATGACTGACGAAAATGCCTACGCTCTACTGTTTTGCTTAGATTCCTTTATCTCAAATCTCACCACTCCAAAAATAATTATTTTGTAATTTTGTAAGACTGGTCGGAACATTCTATGCTACTTGCACAGTAACCGGCTGTCCTTGTTTCGTTTTGATTTTTCATCATTCTCATCATTCTCATCATTCATGAGATTGAATATTATGTTCATGGAGGTTGATGAGGAGAACGCACATGAACATATATCTGTTTAAGTTGAGCTGAAGACTTTAGTTACCTTTATTTGCTTCGTCTCTTGTTCCAACGACGTGGCACCTTTTAAAAAAATTATTCTTATTAAAGCTCCCATTTGTCAATTTATATAACAAATCAGTAAATTTGAATTTTTTTGATGTTGTTTGTAAAAGCTTTTAGTTTTCATTTTTCTCAATATTCGCGGGCCTAAAAGGTTTCGACTTTTAATTGATCGGCTTAGCGGCCTCTTTTTGAGTGTTTTGATGAGAAAAAAGTTTTTAATAAAATGTTCTTTGATGGTCTTTAATTTTGTTTCTGAGTTTTTGAGTTTTTTTCAAATAAAAACATTTTTTTTCGGATTAGCGCGTCTTCTAAAGAATTATCTGCCTTGATGTCGGTTTCTAAGTTTTTTATGATGCTAATTTATCATTCAACTTGAACTAGTTTCTTGAAAAACATTTTTTTAAGATTGTAAAATTTTTGCGAAGATCAGTTCTTCAGATGCTTCTCAAAAATTTCTTTAATCCCTAGTTTTGTTCTCTTTTTAACTTTTATTTTGTTTTTGGCTTGAAGCCCCACTTTTTGCAGTCCGACCTGAAGTCACGTTGGCTTCATGACCGACACCCAGAGGAAGGGGAGCAGGAAAACTACAGAAAATGTGGGATGCTAGCGGCACATGTTCTTAATGAAATCATACAGACAGGAGTGAGTGCAGAGCAAGTTCAAATTCTCCTTCTATTGTCGGATTATTCATTTGAAGACGAAGTGAAGAAAGCAATGGCCACTCTCAATGTAAACATTCGACGTGTTGAAGATTCGAGGTCACTCGAATGGGAGAGAGTAATGGTTGTGATGGGAAGAGGCAATTTAGTAGAGTGAAATCGTCCATTACACATATCAACTGAACAGTGGCGCGCCTTTCACACTTCAGTCGAACTTTTTGAATTGGATAGGGAGGGTTTTTAAAAAATTCGGCCTAAATTTTTTTGGCAAGCAAACTGTTTTTTTTGTGATCATGACAATCGATTTTAGTTAGTAGGCAATGCAGCCGGAACAAACTAAAACTTGGATGCCTCATAAATCGAAATCACTGCAACGGAAGATCCGTCTCTAGTCTTTTAGATGCGCATTTGGTTTTTGTTCACAATGGTCTTAATGTTGATATGTTGTTAATGAACATTTTCTTTCTAGTGATTCTGAACTGTATCTTGCATGCACGCGGGCAAGATCGGAACTACACCTTGTGACGGCCACTGGCGGTACAGTTGCGGATACAGTAGGGACGGGAGGAAGGAGACTTTCTAATACCCCCCCCCCCCCCCCCTGTTAATGTTTGATGCGTATTACGACAATTGGCAAACACAGAAAATAGACTTTTTCAAAGCTTTTAAACTCTATGAAGTAGCCTTTTCCTATTTTTAAAAGTTGACGAAAATTCAAATAATTTGAAAAAACATATCCATTTTTTAAAAATATCAAGTTTTATTTTCAAACTATTTTCATGCCAAATGCTTTGAGATACTTCGAAAGTAGAATTTGGTTGGCCTAGAAAATATCGACAAAAATTTTTATCTCCTCCCCCCTCGCCAAAATTCTGTATCCGCCACTGGAAAGATGAACGAGAGTTGGAAATGAACTCTATTATTACAGAATGTTTCTCCTGGGTTGATTGCGCAAGAAATGAATCATTTTGCTTTCTACCCCGAGCACTTTTTTCAAGTGTAATAGAACGAAGTAATTTTCACTTATAAAGGCTAAATGGTCTTGATCTTTTTCTTGTTTTTTTTTTCAGGAAAAAGTATTAAAAACTTCTTCACGCCCAATTTCGGTTTATCGCGATTTGAGTTTTCTAGGTTCACTTCATTCCTTTTGTAAAAGTAAAGCAAACTCCGCCATTCGAAGGTCACGAAAAACTTCTATTTTCGGAAATCGATTTCAATTTTCTGAACTTATATCGGTATCGGAATAAAAGAATCACATTGATCCAGTTTTTTTCTAATTGGGGGACAATTTTATTTAAAAAAGTGCCTATCATGAGAGCATTTTCTAAGTTCAAAGAGTTTTAACCAGATATATTTATTTCTTCGTAACTCAAAAATTGAAAAAATGTTCAAAAACGTTTGAAATTTTTTTCGTTTTCTTTGATTTTTTATGCACTTTCCCATCCATATGTTGGCTGTATATTTAAACAACCATGAAAGCATCTTATTTGAGAGCATGGGACCATTTTCATGGGCAGTTTTTGCGCTTGTTTGTTTGTGTTTCCAATTCTTCATCGACTCTAGAAGCTTCAACGAGAAGTTAACAGGACTCGGAGTTCCCGAGGAGTCTTTCGTGATTAAAAAATACAAATGGGAGGAAGGCGAAAACCAATTCAGCGTTATAGTAGAAAACGCGGGGTCCGAACGTGGCTAGATGTAATAAAGGAGTTATTGCACAGTTTTCCTATTAACTCAGAACAGCAAAAGATATTTTCATCGAACAAACTTGCTATAATCTTTTGAGGTCTAAATTGAATATATCTCCTATCATCGCGTTGAAAATCAGAA